AAAAAAAAAAAAAAAAAAAAAAAAAAAGAGAAAAAGAGAAAAAGTAATCTTTACAAGCAAAACTCATTTTTTAAATCTATAAATATATCATAAAATAAAAATATAAAAAGAATTAATAAGGTTATGTTTTCTTAAAAAATAAATAATTGTATAATTATTTATAAAAATAGACACTAATTAAATATTAGACAAAAAAAAAAAAAAAAAAATAAATAAATAAATATAAAAATAAGAATAAGAATAAAAATAAAATAATAAATTTGGAATTATTTATTCTTTTTTTTTTTTTTTTTGGAATTTTCCTCCTATATTATAAAAAAAATAAAATAAAATTTATAATTTATAATTTATATTTTTTATAATTTATATTTTATAATTTATATTTTTTATAATTTACAAGATAAAAATTTTTTTTTTAGTCTTACTTCAATTATTTCATTCGCTAATAAATTGGCTTTTTCAGTAGTTTCTTTTAATTTTTTTTCTTTTAACTTTTGTTTTTTTAATGTATTTTTTAATTCTTCTTTTTTTTTTTTTTCTTCTTCTGCTTTTGCTTTATTATGATTATAAATTCGGTAAGCATCTGAAATAATTGATTCCCCTAGATAATTTTAAAAAAAAAATTTTATTTAAAGAAGTAAAAGTATTATAGAATACATCATCAAATAAATAAATAAATAAATAAATAAATAAATATATATATATATATATATTTTTATTCATAAATACCCCATTTATTTGTTAAGCAGTTTGCTTCAAAAATGATTCTGTTAAACTCTTCTAAAAATTCATCACATTGCTAACAAAAAAAAAAATAGACAAAAGAATAAAGAATAATGAAATGATAAAATATATATATATGTATATGCAAATTTATGAATTCAAAATTATTCATACCCCATCAAGTTGCTTTGACATATTATCATCAATATAATAATTATTATATAATCTATATTTTTTATTTTTATCTTGAAATATTTTGTTACAAATAGGCAAAAAACAAATAGCTTTCTTTAGTAATAAAACCTTTAATTTTACTATGTCTTCATTAGCTAATTTTCTAATAAAAAAAAAAAAAAAAAAAATAATAAAATAAAATAAATTAAAAAAAAAAAGCTATATATAAATAAATAGAAATAAAATATATTATAAATTTTTTTTTTTACCTCATCCAACTATTTTGAGGATTATCTACTTCACTATCTTCTATATACTTAGTATCATTATAAATATCATCTAGTATATTTTCTATATATTGTAAATTCTGTTTATATTTTTCATTTTTAGTTTCATCATTTAATCCTTCAAGTATCTCTGTATCATAATTAGCTTCTATACCTCTTTCAACTTTTAGATAGTAAATATATTTTTCTATTTCATACTTATTTGAAAAATTATCATATACATCATATTGTTTGTTGTCATATTTTAAACAACTAAAAAATTCATTTCTTCTATTTTTTTCATGAATAATTTTTGATACATTTCTATATACGAAAAAAGAAAATATCAAAAAAGGAATTATAACAAAAATTACATATAAGAATAGCATTTTTTAAAAAAAAAAAAAAAAAAAAAAAAAAAAAATGTATTTATTATTTTATACACATAAAAATTTTTTTTTTTTTTTTTTCTTGTGAAATTATAAATATTTTCCTACACTTTACTCACAAATATTAAATTACAAATAAAATAATATAAACAAACAAACAATAATTATATATATATATATATATATAAAGGAAAAAAAAAAAAAATATTGTTTATTTTTTTTTATATAATTTTTTTTTTTTTTTTTTTATAATAAATTTAATATAAGATTAACATAGTATAATTCTTTTAATAATTTAACAAACAATTATTTTCTTTAAAGAAAAAAAAAAAAAAAAAA